TGACAGCGATACGAACGGGATTCCGGAGACCCACGCGAATGAGCTGGTCCACAGCCTCAGAAACACTAGCACTGAACAGACCGGTTCGGCGTTGCTTGGGTAGTCGCGAGAGGATTCTTTGCAGGTCATCTTTGAAGCCAAGGTCTAGAAGACGATCAGCTTCATCAAGAACGAGAGCATCGAAGGACGACTGTGAGCAATGGACATGTGGCGAGGAAAGAAGTTCGAGTAGTCGTCCCGGTGTACCGATGAGTACGTTGGTAGATGACTTGAGGAATCTGCTCAGATCCTGAGCGGGCGTTACTGATCCTCCAAGAAGGAGCTGGGGTATGACCTTCAACGTCCCGGGTGGAAAGGTGGGTTTTGGCGGAGCATCGGCGTCTTCCATGTCGGTATCTTCATCTTCCGGATCCAGTAGCGCAGCAGAGGGGGCGTGGAATCTGAGAAGCGATGAAAGTACTGTATGGATCTGCGTTGCAAGTTCCCTTGTGGGTGAGATGATAATGGCACCCACGTGATGCTTTTTTATAGGCGCATCCAGTCGCAACAAGCGCTCGACGATGGGAATTAGATAACTAAGAGTTTGTTAGATGCGCGTAGAGTCTGGCAATGTTTGACCTTACGCTAGAGTCTTTCCACTTCCTGTGACGGCCTCGACTACAACATCGGAGTTCTTCATGAACATGGGGATAGCTGCATGCTGCACAGGCGTGGTCTTTACGAAGCCCATGGAATCCACAGCTTCGAGGATCCATTCTGACAAGGCAGGCGTTAATGCGCTGAATGAACGATCTATCTTAGTTTGGGGCGCCATGATGCACTATGATATCGTGAAGATGTCTGCTGGAGTCGCGATGGCTGTACAGAAAAGTCGCGCGAACTTTGAAAATAAAGTGGAGCACTGCACGGCCACTATGCGCCACACTGTCGTTCACAGGCAGGCACGCTCGAGAGCACGCGGGGCTTCAGCTGTCACTGCTTCGAGCACATCCATGGATCTGACAAAAGCTTGATTACTCATAACATGATGCATCCAGTTCGCGAGCCTGCAATGACACACTGACACCGTGTCTCCTTTCTCGAACCTGATCGCATCGCCAAGACTGATCCGCCGCCACGCTGATCATAGGCGCATTCGCGAGACCGGATCATACATGCGTAGCCGTGAGACCAAATTTCCCAGGCTCATGCAGCAAGATTACAGCCGTCCCGCCCCGACCCATTCCCTGTTCACCCGCCTTTAACAAATAAGACGACCGCTGCTGTCGCCTGCACGCACTGTGGCATCTTCTGCCTCCCTAAACGATGCGCGCTGCCCGGACGAATCCGCGGGCCATGAGCCTCTGATCACGCCTGATGCTGACATCAATGTCGAAGCCACCCTAAGTGCCGCCCTCCCACATGTTAGCTGTGACGCGCCAACCCAGCCTCATTACCTTTATTCGCAACCCTCGGATCGCCAGTCCCTGCTGGTAAACATCGCCCTACTCTGTGCCAGGGCCCACTCCACTCTCTCCGGCGTCATCCGGGCTCCTACTCTTCCTTACTTTCCCACCTGCTGGCGCGTAGCCATGGAGTCTTCACGCCAATACCAGATCCCTAACACGCCGCGTGTGATCTCGCCGTCACCAACGCCCTCGGAGGCGGGTAGTACGAAAGATGGTTATTTTGGACCCGTGACGCGCTCTTCGACGCGCAAACAACGGGTTACGTCACCCCCGCCTATCGATGAGGACTCAGGATCAGACCCCGACAGCAGGGCCCGAGCAAGGAGCCGGAACGCTAGAAGTCGGAGTCCTATCCTGGATGGAGGCGTGGGACGGCGGAGGATGAGCGGCCTGACAAGCCGTAGGCAGATGAACGGAGGCATGAAGAAGGATCTCGCGCTGCCGGGCAACACTTCAAACGGCCACCTGTCACCCGCGCAAGCAAACAAGAACTACTGGAGGGAGATGAGCAGGAGTCCAAGTCCTCTAGGTTTGATTCCAATCCACCAGAAATGGCGATCATTCGTGAGTACACACAGGGTGCCTTCGCAAGCTCATCACTGACATGGATAGATTCACCGACATGAGATCCCTCGCAAGATCCTGCACGTCTCCATCGGCTTCCTCACCATCTTCCTCTACTGCACCGGCACGCAAACGTCGCAAATACACAATGTCCTCCTTACCATGCTGATACCCATCGCCCTCGCCGACGTCATCCGACACCGCTACTGGCAAGTCAACCGCTTCTACATCCGGTGTCTCGGTGCCTTCATGCGCGAGTCAGAGGTCGATGGATACAACGGTGTCATCTCCTACCTTCTGGGCGCATGGATAGTCATGCGCTTTTGCCCGAAAGACATAGCAGTCATGAGCATCTTACTACTGAGTTGGTGCGATACCGCTGCTTCGACTTTCGGCAGGCTCTGGGGCCACCTCACGCCCAGAGTCAGGAAAGGCAAGAGTCTTGCGGGTTCCATCGCGGCGTGCGTAACGGGTGTTATCACAGCAGCCGTATGGTGGGGCTGGCTAGGTCCTCTCTACTCAGAGTACAATCACGGCGAATACGCTTTTGCATTCCAAGGTGCCCTGACGCTCCCTCCCCAGGCGCGGGAAACTTTTGCTCTCACCGTGAAGCAGGCTTCCCTTACCGGATACTGGGCGTTGGGCGCCATGTCTCTGGCGTCTGGCATCATCGCCAGTGCCAGTGAAGCGATCGACGTCTTTGGCTGGGACGACAATCTCACCATCCCCGTGCTTTGCGGAGCCGGGCTATGGGGCTTTCTCCGGATCTTCGGCTGATCCCAGCTTCCCACATGTACGATTTTACGTTTTGTCTCTTCTAGAGTCTTGCAATTTCCAATCTATATCCCCTTTGGATCAAATGATACCCTAGATACGGGTCCTCGGGGAGTGGCATCGCATCTATCATGGTTACGACGGCGTTCTGGGACGTAATGGGAACTGGGCAGACGGAGATGGACGGGTATTGGGCGAGTAGATGGGGACATGAATCGGTATACCTATATAAGCAAATAGTGATCTTCCTTGCAGCCACAGAAGCTACTTTGGTGTGAAGGCGTCGTAGGGCTTATCGAGTTTCAAGCCGAGGTCCAAATTCTCACGTTGCTCATCTACCAAGCACCGAATCCAGCTCTCCCACACGCCTTTAGGGCTGACTTTCGGCAAGCACCCGTCCTCAATGCAGAGCAGACGCAAAAGGGAAGGCCTGACTACCCTGAGGGACCCCTGCAAAGCGGTATTCGACTTGGCGCATACCGCCACATGCGACGCGGCCATTGGAGCATGCCGCCGACTTGCTTCTTCATATATGATCACGCTCACGCACGCTCACTAACAAGACTCACGGAGACACTCTGACTCTTGCGCATACTCCTACCCAGCCAGACATCCCCTACCCTCGACCGCCAGCGAGCCCCCTGCCGATCGCCCGCAGCTTGCCCCGCCACACCCGCCGTTAAGAGCCCTCCACGTCCTGCGCCCGAACGCGCCTCTGGAATCTCCACCTACCCTCTTTCCGCAACAGAGCCGGCGCACACAAAACTTCCTTCACGCAAGAACATCTGCATCCGGATCGCTGTAGAACGTGTGCAATCTCTGCGTCGCAGCTGTTATAACCGTCTCTTCGGCTGCGTTCCCCCACCCGTTCCCGATCTCTCTGCGCATACCGAGGGTTCAACTTCGAGCGCCACTTCACATACACGTACGCGAAAAGAAGGGTGCTATGGCTTCGTCATCTGCGGCAGCGGGGCTGCTGGCTCGTCAACTCAAGCAAATGCAAAACGACAAGAGTATATCGGGCATAAGCTGCGGTCTGGTGGACAACAATGTGTTCGAGTGGGAGGTGATGCTGATGATCGACGACGACACTAAGTTCTACGGAGGTACAGACCCAGGCATAGTTTTTAGAAGTTAGAGCTCCAGTACTAACACCATACACAGGAGGTTTCTTCCGCGCGCGCCTCACCTTCCCCAGCGAATACCCGCTCCTCCCACCAAAGATGCGCTTCGAGACACCCATCTTCCACCCTAACAGTACGTCTAGTTCCTCACAAACCTCTCATAACTCGAATCGCATGACTAACACATCCCAGTCTACCAAAACGGCGAAGTATGCATCTCGATCCTCCACCCACCCGAAGAAGACAAGTACGGCTATGAATCCGCTGCAGAACGCTGGTCGCCCGTCCAAACACCCGAAACGATTCTCCTTAGCGTAATTTCCATGCTATCGAGCCCGAACGACGAGAGCCCGGCGAATGTGGAGGCGGCGAGCTTGTGGAGGGATAACACGCCCGAGTTTAAGAAGAGGGTGAGGAAGTGTGTGAGGGATAGTTTGGATTATGAGTGAGGTGGATGATCAGGGTGAGAAGGAGGGAGGCAAAGTGTCTTTTGTGATAGCATAAGCGCGGACGGGTATTTGGGTAGGCGATTATCTGATTGTGTCATGGCTTGCATGGCGGTGTTTTTGACTGTTCTCAGGAAGGCCTGAATGCATATGATAACTTCTTCTATGAGTTTGTTGATGGTGTTGGTGGCATCGGATCGTAGCATGAGTCGGAATATGTTCTGGTGCTTCATCATAGGCTTTGTGAACTCTGTGATGAGCAAGTGGGTTTTGACTCATCGAACCGGGAATCACATGGAGAGTCATCATTCGATCAGCAGAAGAACAGTAGTAAGTGAAGAGGGTCTCAAAGCGAATTCACGAGATGAGGCATAAGATGTAGCTTAGGAAGACAGATCTCTCATTGTATCATACATCCCTCTCGTCTTATCAATCCATCCTCCATCTCCAAGTATATCTACAAATAAACTGTCCCACCTAAAGGAGTGGTAGGCAGTGACTACAAGAACAGTAAACCCCCTTGCGATATATCTCAGCGATGTCTTGTCCGCCACTCATTTACATCCACATCTCCACATGATTCACTGCTTCAGCAGCAAATCTAGCATGCCCGAATACACCTTTGTATTGGAGTCGGAGACAGCTTAAGCAGCAGCAGTGCAAAGCAACCCATCAGCACCAAGCGGCACAATGCAGCACTGAGCCGTCGTGCCGTCTTCAGCGCAAGCAGCTTGGAAGTCCTCTGTTGTTTCGATACCGGCGCCCGCTGTAATCACTTGTTAGCAAAATCCTTCCTCATACTCCGGGATATGTGGAATACGTACCGTTCGCGCAGTTCAAGTTGGCAACACCAAGGACATCAGTCTGGCAGCACAATGGTGTGGCGAGGCCACCGCAGATCTCGCTCTGGCGAGCCTGGACGGAGGTGGCAGAGTAGGGGAAACGCTTGGTGACTGCGGCGGCGGAGGTGAGGCTCAGGAGAGCGGCGAGGGTGAAGATGGTGAACTGCATTTTGGTGGTTTGGTGGTTTGGTGGTTTGGTGGTTTGGTGGTTTGGTGGTTTGGGTTGGTTGTGGTGGTTTGAAGGTGTTGTATATGATGAGATGATGAGATGAGAACTGTTGTGATGATGATTTACCTTTGGGGGGAACAGAGTGCGGTTTATATATCTCTGATGGACGCGATGGCGGAGATGATTCCTTTGCCTATGATGCTCTTCTCTTTCGTGCCCCTTGTGCTATTCTGTGCTACGCTGCCTACATCCAGCCTCGATCTTACCGATCCCATCCCATGCTCCCACGTCCAAGACCTCGACACGTCGATCAATATCCCCAATACCCTCCTCCCCATCTCTTTTTCGTCACTACATCCCACAAACTACCCAATGCTCGCCGACCATCCTCTCACCCTTCACTATTCAAACTCCACTACCCGCTATCAGCCACCACGCCGATCTCCATGAGGCTTAGATACCCAGTGACGATCCCCATCCGCCAAGTTCCCCCAAATCCACCTTCCCGTGCGCCACGTAGTCTACAAGCAGATACGTCACGCCGTTTTGGGCAAAGGTTCCCTCTCTGTTTGGTCACCTACCCTGCGTTACCGTGCAGAAAAGGCAACGACATATGTGGGGACCTGATGAACGGCAGGGTAGTGCTTTAGGTGTTTAGTGTTTCGCAGCGAGCTAGGGACGAAGCGACGTGTAGATCTGATAAGCTCCTGCTTTGGACGTATGCCTAGCATAAGCAATGCTTGTGGGAGGGTTTGGGCCGTCGGCGAGGACTAGAGGAGTAATCTAGGTTTTTGGGATTGTTTGGTAGTGATTAGGGGTAGTGTTATCGGAGGATTGTTTGTTTAGTTCTGTCCCGCATGATCGCTGTAAAGAAAACGTGCGGTGGAATGGTAGGTATTGAACGTCTTGTAGAGGTGAATTGGTGGTTGAGGTCATGGCCAGGTGATGATCTCCTTCGATACCTTCACAATTTGAAACGGTACCTGCATACTCAGCCCCAGAAACACCCACAAGCTGACAGACAGATTTGGCATGCCTGTCATTCATGTTAGCCACGTTATCTTCCACATCTTCCAATCTCTGTGACAAGCTCGCAACGATCAACGATCCAGTCACCTCGGCGATCTTCCCCACCCACCAATACCAGCACTAACACTTCCAATCAACCCATCGATTCCATCAATGTCAACACCAGAATTCCGTAAAACAATCCCCATCCTTCCGCCCTATCTCTCCATCCTCCCCGTACCCACCGTATCGCGTCACCAGCCCCCACACGCTACCACGGCTTGGCGCGGCTGCAGCGTCGATCATGACGGCAGATAGCTACAAGCCTTTCCGCCCTGAGCCTATCTCGCTCGGATGCCCGGGTGCAGTACGTACCGCATGCTATCTCTTGATATCAGGGACCGAAAGAAGGAATTATGGTAGTGTGTTATTTCGAGCCTGTAGGATGCAGGTGTGGAGTGGACATGTGAACCGAGGGTCGATCACCACCCACACCCACATGAAAGGGGATGTTGGCTCGGCAGTGTAAGACAATGAACAGGGGATGTCACGAGGGAAGTGGAGGAAGGTTGAATGTGGAAATGTCGATTATCTCATCTCAACTCATCTCTTCATCTGCCCCGATGGAAAGATAAAAGAAGAAGAAAGCACACGGCCAGCATGAACCCTCTTCTTCTTTTCTTCCTTCACTTACACACAATAATTACCATCTCTCTTTCTACATACATACAGATCTCTCCATCTCTCCCACATCATCAAATCGTCAAGGAAATCGGGGGTGGGAATAGCGAAAAAAGAACAACAACGGCGTATTTACATGTAAACATCCTAGGGTATCAGGCGCCAAAACATCCCGCATCCATAACAAAACCAAAAAAGCCAAATAGATCAAAAAGCGCCAGATTGCTACCAATCTATAAACGTCGAAGCGAGTGGGTATGTGTTATCAATGGAGTCGTTTCCTTCCTCCAGTCTTATATGTCGTCCCATGGGAAGTCTTGCGGGTCAATTCTTGTGCATGTCAAATACGGCAGTCCGCCCTCTCGTAGGTCGAGCTCGAGGAAATTGCGCATCAGCGGCTTGACTGCATCTTTGGCTTTGACCTTGATTTCTTCGATTCTGCGTTCGAAGCGCTTCAGGTTGTCGCGGTTGTAGTGGTCGGGGTTCAGTCGCAGGAAGCGCTTGCATTCGTCGTGGTTGAGGTAACTTGAGCCGGCCTGGCCGAGCAAGCGGAATATGCGGCCGGTGTTGAAGACTGGTGGAGGTGGCAGCGGCGCACCGTCTCTCGAGTTCTGGGGTCGTGGCGATTTGAGGATTGGGGCCGGGGGTGGCGTGGTGTTCTCGGCGAGCCATTGTCGGAATAGCGAGACTGCTATCCAGTCCAGCCAGTTGCTCGATGGGCTCACACGCTCGCCGCGACTAGTTGTGAGGGATAGGCGGAAGAGCTTGACTTCAATCTTGGCCTTGAGCTCGTCCATCTCGTCGACTTTGTCTTCTATTAGCTCGATCACGGGCTCAGCGATCTGGCCGCGTAGCTGATTGATACCTTGTGGCCACTGTCCGACAACGTGCACCATGGCTTCGGCGAAGATGGCTTTACTCCGTGCCATGTAGCCAAGTTTGAGGTAGCTGGGCGGGTATTTCGCAATCTGCTTCCATAGCCGGCCTTGGAAACGCAGCAGATGATGGTCTACGCGTGGTCCGATGACGCCGAGCGCGTCGTACATGTCGGCGAGCTGCAGGAGCGATTTGCACTCTACGTAGGCATTCGCGATGTTGAGAGAGTCGAGCGTAGGAGGATAGTTGTAGAAGATGCGGAACAGGTTGTCGTAGTCTCGGAAGGTGTCGTCGTCGGGGTCGGTCTCAGGGGTGGCTGTCGCGGGTACGTGGAGGGTGGAGAAGTTGGCCATGCTGCGGAAGAAGCCTGACTGCGGTGCGGCAGGCTTGTTGCGCGTAGTAGGGGGTTGCACAGGTGGACTTGGGTCGCCGCCAAACATGGTAGGCTGGTTCTTCTGTACTCTCGTTAGCATGGTCGCCGTCGCGGACGGTAAACAAACACACCTTCTGCACGAGCATGGGCAGGTCGTCATCGCCGCTGCCCCAATCCATCTCGTACCTCCATTTCCGCTTCTGCTCGGGTCGTGATCCTGATGGTATCCTCGACAGGGCGGTGCCGTTGCTGGGCCCGGCGTTGGTCACATCGCCAGCAGTCGCCCACTCATCGCTCGTGCCAGCCTCGAAGAAGCCCGAGCACTGCGTCAGAATCAACTTGTGCAGCAAATAACGCATTTCCTTCCGCCCATTGCTGATAACGATTTCGACGTCGCCGGTATGCGTGAACACGGGGAACTCATTCTGGGGTGCTAGCGACGAGCCGCCCACATTGGAGCGGTGCTGGCGATGTCTGCGGACGGTGGATGCGCGCGACGAGTGCGACACAACCGACGAGGGACGCCGTATTGGCAGTGAGCGCTCTGCACTCGCCGAGTCTGGGTAGGAAACCATGCGCCGCGACGTCTGCTATCTCGCTGTTCGGGTCTGGTGTTGTGGTGCTCGGGGTGGCCGAAGGGGTGGTTTGCGACAATGATGCGTGCCAACAATATTGCGACGGGTCGCGGATGGCTGGAGGCGGGTGACACTTGTCGGGCGGGGGCAGGTGGCGACAGCAACAAAGCTGCGTGGTGCGGTGGTTGCACGCAGCGGTGCAGCTCGCGGTGCAGGCAGGCTGGTGGTGGGCGGCCGGGTTGTTGATGCTGGTGAGCCCTGGAGAGGCTGGTGCGTAGGCCGTAGACGAGAATGGCCCGCTAACCACCCCACCTCGAATGCGATGGCGCCAAAGGTGGACCTTGGCCCAGAACCGGTTCAGCGCGACAGGGTAGACTCTGCTGCTTTGCGACGCATGTGCAGTCTTGAGAAGATGTTTCAGGAGCCGTGCAGCACCAGACAGCAGTGGCTGTGGCGGTTGTTCACATGGCCGCTATCCAATATGCACCTGGCCTCATGCACCCTGCCACCCAGCTCGAACAGGTTGGAGGCTGTGCGCCAATCGCCGGCCATAACCGGGCCAAGCGCAGAGTCAGCCTCGATGGCGGCCAGCTGGGATGTCGCGGCCAAAACAGGGGAGTGCAAGCATCTGACGGTCCGAAGCTTTGAAAGTTGATGCAGGGGGCGAGCAGCGTGGTTTTCAGACGGCTGTGGCCATGGGATGTGTTGACTGCATGTTTCTTGAGTGGTGTCGCGCATCTAGTTGCGGCACCAGTAACACCCAACCACCTGACATCATAGTCTAGATACATGATACATATAGTACACTACTTCTTCACACCATCAACGACGCTCCGCCTGTATCTTTTCTTGCCCACCCATGAACGGTCGCAGTACCTCTGGTATTGTTACTGTGCTGTCCTCTCCGTTCCAGTGGTTCTCCAGAATGGCTGCGAGGACTCTGGGCACAGCAAGTGCTGTTCCGTTGAGCGTGTACGGGAACTCTAGTTTGCCTGCCTTCACGCGCATGCGAGTCTGTAGTCGTCGGCTCTGGTAGTCTGTGCACATGGAGGACGATGTCACCTCGCCCCATCCTTCGTCCTTCTCACGCGATGGGAAGAAGGCTTCGATATCGATTTTCCGCGTCGCGCTGGCACCGAGGTCGGTTGTGGGCATTTCCAGGATGCGGCAATGCAGCCCAAGTGCTTCTAGTATCTCCTTTTGGATCGACAGCATCTCGTCAAAGATTGATTCTGAGCTCGGTGCCGTTGGAGTGGTGAAGTGATCTTCACCCATGTTGTCGGGTTGTGTCCAGGCAAACATCTCGACCTTGGTGAATTCGTGAACACGGTACAAGCCCTTTGTGTCGGCCCCTCTTGCGCCAGCTTCAGCACGGTAGCATCTGCTCACACCGACTGCCTTGAGCGGCAGCTCCGCTTCTTCCAGGGTCTGATTGGCCTTCATGCCAGCAAGCGGTATCTCTGCAGTTCCGGCGAGAGCGAGTTGCGGCTTTGCCTTGTCCTTCTCCGACTGCTCGATAGCGTATATCTGTTGCTCCCCGTTTTGATCGCGCGGCTGGAATCCGCAGGCAGATGCAATGTGCGAGTACACCAAGGATGGAGGTGCGACTGCTTTCCATCCTTTCCTCCTAGCAACACCTAGGGCGTACTGTATGAGTGCCTGTTCTAGCATTGCACCATCTCCGACCAGAAAGTACCAGCCCCAGCCCGAAGTCTGCGCTGAGCCCGAGAAGTCAAGTATCCCCAATTCCTGCCCAATGTCGACGTGCGACTTGCGATTTTGTGATTTCGAGGATTCGTTGATGTAGCCGAGTACATCTGCTTCGGTGCCGACGGGCGTGCATGTGCTGCTCAAGTTGGGTAGATCCTGCGCCAGCCCTTCTATCTCTTCTTGGATCTCTGATTCTTGTGCCTCGATAGAGCTCAACTCTGCCTTCAATGCCTTCGCATCGCTGATCAATCCTTCTCTCAAGGCTACCGGCTTGCCGACGGCGTCCTTGGCGCGCGATGCTGTCCTAGCTAGAGTGGCTCGTATGCGATTGTTGCGCTCTCGTAGGTCGCGACTGCTCTGCTGGAGTGCAAGCCATTGCTCGTGCAGCTCTATGATCCGCCATGACGATTTGCTATGTGCGGCATAGTTGCGATCTATGCAGTTCTGCTCATATAGTCCTGGGTTCTGTCGGATGTGTTTGATGTCGATGGTGGGTTTTGGTGCGAACGCGGGTCGTGTGTATGCTCGGCGTGGTATTGAACTTGTCCGGTATGACGTTAAGTTGCTGCAGAAGATTTGCCTCTGACATGTCGCATTGGCGCGGAAAGATGGTCGGACAGCTTTCATAGTTGTGACATGAGAACCTCAGTCGAATCTCTTGCAGTGTCCCGCTTTCGCGCCTTCCTGACTTTTGAGCATCCTTGATCCCTGCACGCTGCCGTCGCGTAAGTCGCGTCACGAAACCTCCCCGCATTCTCTCACTCCGCCTTACATGGGTGTACTATTCGCAGCAGGTGTCTGTTGAGGATCAGCCAGACGAGTAAGATGGTAACTCTGTGGGGTAATTCAACAACTCCTGAGGGCAGAATGTCTATTCGCCTGTCCTCCCACCTTGACCCGCTCACGACCACGGTACCGCGGTGACCCTTTAAAGCCTCAGCGAGACACTCACAAGTACTCGTAATACATCCTCATGTTCATGCTGGGTCAGGGCTTCAGATACGAGTGCAAAAGCCTGCCTGACAGACCTGTGTAAATCATGAGTTCTCTTGGCCTCTCTCCTAGAACTTATTCACCATGGCTTCCAATCCTGGCAATCGCCCAATTGACCTGGCATGCGACCCTCTGGCCGACCCGGAGGACTCCGAAATCTCCGTCGAAAATGGCTTCATTGCTGAAACTGAGAGAAGACGCAAACCAAGTACGAGTCGGGGCCAAGGACCGTCTGCGACTGTACCATTCCCGCGGCAAGACTTCATTCCATATCCGTTACCAGGATTGAAGGCACATGCCACGCAAACTCCAAACCTTCAGTACATGCCATTCTACTGTTGCCCCATCTGCAGAGGGAAGCGTGAGGCGCATGCCCACATGCGTAAACTTTTCCTAGTCGCCGAGCGACTTATGTGGGAAGAAGGACTGGTGTCGATGAGTGAGAAGCATCGCAACGCATACTTCAACAAGCAGGTCAACGATGAGCTCGGCGTCTCAAATCCCACTGTCATTTGCCAAGACTATTTCCCTGGTGGGAGGCATAGCCAGACCAACAGACACTATCCTTTCAACAACGAGCACGAGATGGGGTTCGCTTTTAACGTTGTACACACACATGACAAGTTGACAGAAGCTCTGTGGTCATTGTGGATTGGTTCACAGTTGGACATGGAAAGAGGGCTGGCCGAAAACAGAGCAGCAGGTACTCTTACACTCGGGGGGAACACAGGAGGATGGACAGGACCAACTAACATGGCATCACATGATCATGCGTCTGCTCAGCCGGACTATCTTTCTGGGCTACCTACGCCGCCGGTGTCTTCCATGGAAGAGGCTAGACGCATGAATGCCCTCTTCAACTCACCTGTACCGGCCGCACAACAGAGCCAGTTCACCGCCCACCCGGCAAATTTACTCAGTCACAGCAATCGGATCATCAGCTATAGGAGTTTGCAGGACTTCTACTTCCTTCTCGACAGAATCGAGAGAACATCGTACGTTGCAGAGATGTTCCTCGTAGCATACGCTGCGAGGTTGAAGGTGGATAAATGCATCAACTGCTGGCACAATCAGAACGTCAGAATTGATGGGCTTTGAGCGCAGCGTCTTCATCATCACATTATTGCTTTAAAGATACCCACTACCACCTCTACGAGGAAGACGCCGGACAGCTGTACTGCAGTCTACTCTATTATAAAACGAAAGTTAGCCAAGTCAAGAAAAACCTCCGAGCTATTTACTTCTAATAGGTGTTCGACTTCTTGCTTGTATGCCGTGATGCGGCGTCTGAAGAGGGTGAGATTTGTCACAGTATGACGCCTCTAGTGGCGGTGCACTGTACCCAAACACATCCAACAGCGTCCAACATGACGTGGTCCCGTGGCAGTGATTTAGGATTCCACAAAAATGACCCGGTGGACATGAAATCTGTCGTGTGCCTCTGGCGCAGGGCGATGGGTCCTCGGCTCGCTAATCGCATCTCGGCCTAGAACAAGGGACTGCACCAAGCTTGGTCGTCATCCGCACCTTTTCCCAGGCATCCTCGAGCGGCGTGCATCATTGTGCCGCCGCGGCCTTGGATCTTCGTATCTACCCGAGTATAAAACCGCTCTTGCTCTGCCTTCCTGCCGAACGCCCCTCCGCTGCTTCCCTGCCTAAGAAGGGACCATCGCTCCTGCTCGCGTGCAACCCTTACCGCCCTGACATCACTCTCGCACCTCCACCTCCACCTACCTCCGCGTCTGCTGCACCCCACACTCGACTGCCACGATGCACGACCCGTTCCCTTTCGCGCCGCCGGAGAGCCTGGTCAAATATGTGCAGCCCGTCGCCGACTTCCTCAACATGAAGTCGCTGCCGCTGCACTTCCACGAAGTCGCGATAGCCTTTACGTTCTACCAGATTATCTTCAGCTACGGCGCCCCCGCCATCTCACGCTTCTTCTTCCCGCGGATATACGCCAACTTCACCGCGCGAACCAAGCTCAACTGGGATGTGCATATCGTGTCATTTGTGCAGAGCACGCTGGTCTGCGGAATGGCGCTATGGGTCATGTGGACGGATAAGGAGCTGAATCAGATGGACTCGACGGAGCGCGTGCATGGATATACTGGAGCGTCTGGCTTGATCCAAGCTATGGCAGGAGGCTATTTCCTGTGGGACTTGGTCATCACGTTGCAGAATGTCAAGGCATTCGGTACCGGCATGCTGTTCCATGCTATCTGTGCCCTCTGCGTATTCTCGCTGGGTTTCGTAAGTAGACCACGGTGCTTTCCAGGGCATATGGGAGCTATTCAGAGTACTGATCGTGTGACAGCGTCCCTTCGTGAACTACTACGCGTGCACCTTTATCCTCTACGAACTCTCCTCGCCTTTCCTGAACATCCACTGGTTCTGCGATAAGCTCAACATGACCGGCACCACCATCCAGCTCGTCAACGGCATAATCCTGCTATGCACCTTCTTCTCCTGTCGCATCGTGTGGGGCTCCTACAACTCCATCCGCGTCTTTACCGACGTCTACCACGCCTACGCCGCCGGCGCATACACGCACTCGGACCCAGACGTCGGAAAGCTATCGCAAAACACCACCCTCCACAACGCTGGGTTCAAACACGACATCCTCCGATTTGCCGAAGGCCAAACCGTCCCTCTCTGGCTTATAACCGCCTACCTCGCCTCCAACATCATCCTCAACGGTCTGAACTGGTTCTGGTTCGGCAAGATGATCGAAACGCTACGAAAACGCTTCGACCCTCCCTTTGGCACAAAGACACAAGGTCCGGAGATTAAGGAGACTACGCTGGAGATACCTGATGATGAAAAGGTTCTCGTTGAGGGTATTCACGTCTCTACTCCTGGTGCGGTGGAGCATGATGCGAAGGATTACATTGCGGTGACTGATCGGGCGGCCGTGTCGCTGGAGAAGAGCAGAGCAGGCACGCATTTGGAGGTTGGGCAGACTGAGGTTAGGAGTCGCAATGCGGGGCAGAGAGGGGGGTTGAGAGCCGCGCAGGCGGCGTAGGGGGATGAAGATTAGGAATGAGATGGGTGGGTTTGGAGTGTAAGTAACATGTAAGGCATCATCTACCAAATCTATACATCACCAGGTTCTTTTACAGCATGGAAATCAGCTACTATCAGAGCTGGCATCATGTTCTTCACTTGCCTCCCCAAGATCTGTCCACCCCTCCTCCCGCATAGCCTGTTTAGTCTTCTTCATAGCCTGTTTAGTCTTCTTCATAGCCTGTTTAGTCTTCTTCATAGCCTGTTTAGTCTTCTTCATTAGCGTACGCAAGGCTCCAATCTTCCTACCCTTCTCCGCACCCATAGCAATGGATATATCATGCACACGATGGAAACGTTCATCCGCAAGCTTCAGCAGCTTCTTCGCTTGCGCAACTGATCTCCTTGCTGCCACAACTTCAGCATCGGCGTTCGCATTGGCTGCGTGGTGATCACGGTCTGGCAATCCCAAACGTTCTTCCGCAAGCTCCTGCAGCTCCTTCATTTCCGCAACTAATCTCCTTGCTGCCACGACTTCAGCATCGGCGTTCACATTGGCGGCGTGGTGATCAGGGTCGGGCAATCCCAACTCTTGCATCATGGTTTCGATGTTACGGATGAGAACGCCGTTGTCTGTGTAGGGATTAGGTTGGATTGGTAGCGTGTTTTGGCTGTGTTGGAATACGTAGGTAACATGGTGATGGTTACTTACATTCGTGTCTGTCTTCAAACGACAGCTGTGGGAGTTTGGATAGGAACCATGCTGCTGTTGAGGGGGGGCTGGTTAGCTGGCACTTTCTTATGGCTACGGTAGCGGTTCTGCAAGAGGGAGGAGGGAAGGTTGCCTACTAGAGATCTGGATGGTTGCGGGGAGTGGAGCTTCTTCGTCGTCGGACATTTTGGTTTGGGTTTACGAAGAGGGCCTTGGGATGGAGATGTGGAAAGTAATTTGGTGGGTTAAGATGCAATAGCGGATTAATAGAAGAGAGACGGATCTGGGAAACTGCTAATAAGAGAGCGTAGTATCATGAATGTATAGGCCGCGTGCGGTTTGCTAGGTATCCTGTCGGTTCACAGGACAATCAGTAAGTCGACAAACCACAAACCCAATGGACGTCGTATCCTTCGATGTTGTAGCTGTACCTTAGGCTCGTGACAGCATTCACACCGCGCATTATCCCCATAAGGTGTTCTCAACCTTGCTCAGCAACGCCACCAAGCCTTCGTGCTTAGCATCATGGACTGCCTTCTCAAACATCACCCGTCGTTTCTCTTCCTCTAGATGCTCCTGCGCACGCTTCAATTGCTCCTCCAGGTCTTCAACGCGAGTTCTTGCCCGGGGTACACCATCAGCGCATCTTAGTGATTCTATAGCCACAAGGCTATCGTGGACATGTGATCGGAGGGTGCGGACGTCTGGATATGTGCCAGAATACATAAGATGGTATCTTGTTATAGTAACGTGTAGATTAGTCTGAGTTGGAGCATAATACTTAGGTGTGAGGAGGTAAAGGGAGGAGAGCTAGGTACATACATTCCTCCCGGTCTTGGGAAGATATCTGGGGAAGCGGCAGAGTAAACCATGAGCCTGTTTCATTGTAATTCGTTAGACCTGCTACTTGCTACTTGGAGAAGGACGTTGTGGTTGTACTCACTGGTCACATTTGAACGACTGGGTGGGCTTAAGGGCCTTTGATTTGACATAGCCGTCGGCGGTTCTTTGGAAGCCCTTTTTGGATAGGAAGGTCTGAGATGAGTTTGTGTGTGAGTAAGAGAGGATCGGGAGAAGAATAATAAAGATCGTGAGTGAACGAGCACCGCACCGTTAGGATTTATACCAGGAGTATGCTTGCTATCGACTACATCAATGCCCTAGGACAAAGAGCACGCAAACTACAAACCTAGCCAACTCTCTCCATCTACGATCGGTGAGCATCGGCCTCATTCGGCACATGATTCCGCACAAGTTCCTCGACCGCACCGGTCAACTTCTGTAAGCCGTCATGCATGGCAGCATCCACCAACGACTCAAACATTCTCTTTTTCTTCTTAAACTCGAGCTTCTCCACCTCGTGCTTTCGTTCTTCGCCTTCTTCCATAGCCTCGACTTCTGACTGAGCGAGTTCTACGACTAATTCGTCGCGTTCACGATGTTCAGCTACACGTCTCACGCTCTTGTCAATGGACTTCTTCAGGACGGTCAGGCCTATACAAGTGTCAAAATGTACACGTTAGTGACGGTTGCAGAGAAGGAGCCTGTCTGGGGTGTGGGGTGTACGTACATTCTTCTTTAGGACGTCGTGATTGGGTTTGGAGGAAATCTAGGTATTCCGTCACCGCTTCATGGTATCGAGTTAGCAAGTCGTTGACTTTTCTAAGAAGGGGCTTTGGGGGCTTCGTTACTAGAGAACTTGTCCCCTTGGGACATGTAGATTTGCGGGCCTGGTGGCTGTTCTTGTTCGGCCATGCTGATCGATTTGTTTGGGATGCTGTCTTTCAGGTGTGTATTAGACGGAGTGAAGATGTTGGTAAGTACATGACACTGGTGTATGTGGTCGCATATATACTTGCGATACTTATTTGTTAGTACTGGAGGGGCTTGGTAGACAAACACAAACTCGACCTCGTGATGGGTTCAGTAGGCTTTCTGGCTTGCTACTCGTTACATCGGTCTACCAAAACAAGGAGCACGCAAGCCACGCACCCATTGTGCTCATGTGCTTTCTCAATCTAAATTCCTCCACCCTCATCCATGAGCTCCTCAACCCTCTTCACCAACTCCACCAATCCCTCATGCTTAGCATCACCGATAGCCTTCTCAATTATCAGCTTCCACCTCGTCATTCTCTCATACTCCCTCGCCGCATCGACCTCGTGTTCCGGGTGTTTACCTTCAAGTTTCTGAAGTTTCTGTAGTACGAATTCGGAGATTGTGGTGTTGCGTGCTTGTTGCAATGCATTCTCTGCGGCGCTTTCTTTCACGTGGAAGCGGAGGATACGGAGGTCTGTGGGATGGGTGAGGCTGGTTTATAAGGATAGAAGGTTGGGGTATAGGGAGGTAGAGTGGTAGGATGGGGGTAAACAGGGGTTGAGGGATCGGTGGGCTGGATGGTGGGCGTACAATCTTCTCTGTCTTCACGGGACTTCTTCTTGAGCTTGTCCAGAAGCCATTGACCTGCTTAGTTAGAAGGCTGGTACATTTGTCGAGGGAATTAGCTGTAGAGCTGAACTTACTAGAGATAGCGGGTTCTTCCGTAGTTTGCGCACTTGTTGGCTGCGCACTTGGTGGTGGGTGTTCTGTCATTATTTGGTCGTGTGGGTTAGGAGAAATATGGAAGATGTGATAGGGGATGTATCGGAAGATATGAGTATACATACCCTGATGCCTCTGCTTGTTAGTAATGCAGGAGGTTGGTAGACAAATACAAACTCGATAGATTCATTGCAATCATGTGCCGTACACAGTCTTCCCAGCTACACAGGTGTCTACTATCGCCCATGTATACCGTACAAGCCGCATATATCCGCCTGTGTATGACTTCTCATCCCAAATTTCACTCTCAAAACACTCCGGGTATATCTTCGCTGCTTCAAGTAACTCCATGTAAGCACTAGACCCGTCTTGTAGCCGCCTCGTCCATCCATCACTTCACTCAACTCGACATAGCGCCAAGCTTCTTCGGAGTGCCCTTCGAAGGCCTCCTCTTCCCCTTTCCCTTTCCTTTCGCACCCTTACCCTTGATGAGCCTAGCCTCAATGACCTCAGCCCGCTCATAGATGAGGGTGATGGCGTTCAAGACATCGCCTTTCTGCAAAGCGGGATCCTTGTCCTCTCCCTGATCCTCTCCAGTGCGAAGAGCGACCGCTTCTTCGAGGATCTCTAGGGCGAGACGAGATTGGCCCTGAGTGAAGCCTGCGAGGATACTAAGGACAGCCAGTGTGGAAGGATCGCACGACTTCGAACTAGACTTGGCGGCGACAGGCTTCATGGATGTAGGCAAGAAGTGCTCGACGGTGATGCCCCAGCACTTCTCGATGTGACCCTCGTCTTCGGCAACACGTGCAGAAGTTGAAGTCGTAGAATTCAAGGCTTCGATGTCGGCCTCAACAGGCTTGTATTCGCGCGTGATCCGCATCTTGTTGCGACTCTTCGGTTTCTGCTTGTTCAAGCTGGTGATATGTAGGCACTTGTCGTGATCACATAGCTCCTACGTTTCAGTCAGTGACATTCTTTTGATGTGCGAAAAGAACAACGTATACTTACTACCCACTCCAGGCCGTAGCACTCGACGCTCATGTCAACATCGTCGCCTTCCTCGCCGTCATATAGAACCCATTCGGACGGTGCATCAGGCAACATGACCTCTTTCGCACTAGCTGCTACCAGCACTCGCTGGTTTTCTTGGAGAGTACTCGGTTCCGTGATGCGCTTGGCCTCTGTGGTATATATCGCGGCATACTTGATGTCGAGGGCAAGTCGTACACTTGGTAGAACTTGCTCGAGAGTCTGGAATGGTGTGACGAAGAAGTCTTCGACGGTCTTCTTGGTGGACGGGCAGTGTAGCTGGACGTTGACCATGGTCGCGAAATCGTAGAGGGTATTGAATCAGATCAGTATTCTTGTCAAAGAGGGAGTGTGGATCAAGAGATCAGAATCGATGAGGATATATAGCCCAGAGGTCAGTGCTCTCTAGGCAGGCGCAGTGAGTTTGTGCATTGCTCAATGAAGGAGAGAAACCGTCGCTTACGCTCGGCTGACCCTTTCCACGAGCCAGTGATGGCTCACTTGACTCTCCTGGAAGCAGACTTGGGTCATATTGTGCTCACTATAGTGGTAAGATATGGATTTGATAGCCTTATTGAGCAAGATACATGCGGGGAAGTTCGCATATATGGAGGTAAAAGATATCAGATTGAGATATGTATTGGCTATGAACGCGTCACTGCGACTTATACACTATCTACTGTTTGCTGTCAGACACTATCGCAACCGCAGGTGACAATATCACGTACCTTGACAAACGCCCAGCTCACACACCTCCCTTACACGTGATTGAGAGTCTCAATCTCCAGACCGTCCTTGAACTCCGCCTCAAGCATCCCATCGCCACCTGCCGTAGTCGGGCGACAAACGTATCCTGCGATACTCACGCTCCATCGCTCATACTCCTCCGCAAGGACCCAGGTGACCTCTCTCAATGGCTGCCTGCTGACTTCCTTGCCAGCCTCATCCTTGATGATCCAGTAAATCCAAAGACTGTTGCCGAGCGCATCGCTCTCCCTTCTCGCCTCAATAGTGGCGCCGGGCATAGTACCGTTCTTGAACTCAGGCATAGGTGTAAGTGACCAATCAGCCCAAGCATCACAGCCCACGGTCGCCACATACGGCTTTCCGTAGTAGAACTCGATACCAGTCTTGATCCATTTGGTTTGGTTGTCTGGAACACCTGGCTTGGTGACATGCAGCAAGAGGCCGGCTTGGTCGTATTGGCGGAGTTGGTCGGATGGTGGAAGCTCGAACGACAGTTGCGCTCGCTGAAAGTCCTTCAGAGTGTAGGTTGGGAGCTGCTCTGGGTAGGTCGATGCATTGAAGGCGTTGTGCATGGGAGGTTTGCGCCAGATGTCAGTGTTTGGTGGAGCCGAGAGGCTAAAGGGCTTGATGGTTGTGGTAGTCGTATTGGACATGGTGACTGCGGCTGTGGCTGTAGCTGCGAGGAAAGGGAGAATGGAGGACTTCATCTTGGTGATGTATGTTAATCTATGGAATCCTGATTGTATTTATACCTTGGCGCAGTGATGCAAGACAGCTCTACGGGTGTGACGACGGCGATTACTGCTAAAGTATGGTAACGCATGCGATTGGCTGGAAGTCGGAAGTACGGTAGAACGTCGGTATGATACAGCTGGATGATTGTGATGGCGGTGGAGAGAGCCCACTGAGGATACCAAAGGAGATTACCCCGAAGCCTCTTCATCCTGGGATGTCGGCATCTTGTGATGTAGCCGGGGAAAGCGGGGTACTGTTCCGGGTGAGAACGTGCAAGATTTGACTTCCGATGGGTAGCTATGGTGGTTCGTCTTACACATCAAGCCATACTACGGCAGATCATGCAAGACGTTGTCTAGCGGGTACCGATGTTTACCCGACAAGTGGGAACTGACGGAGGAAGGTGCAGTGCTAGGCGCTTCCCTGATTGGGCGGGGAAATGCGAGATCTGCTTGGCATGAGCATTGAGACTTCAAATACGAAATACGAGACGCGATCGGGCTGCAGTAGTCGGACCTGTGCATAGCATGGCTAATTCCATCTGAAAGTCTTGTGAATCTTACTCCGACGTGCAATCTGGATTGTGCAGACTCAAAAGCGCCGACAAGTGAAGCAACTACACCGAGCAAATCATTACAGCAGCGGGTATACGTTGTGGGCCATCGGATGTTGTACAATCACATTCATTCGCAGGTATATACAATCCAAATGCTCTAAACCTTCTATTTCTTTTGCTCTCCCTCTTTGGGAGGCTCTGGCTTTGGCGTTGGGAGCTTGAACTACGTGCCTGTTAGAGGTTGAGTCGAGAACGTGGTAAGAAGGATAGCTTACGTTCTCTGGCTTGAGGTCATCACCAGGACCGACCTGCTCCCATGCTGATGAGCCACCACGGAAGTTCCTGAAAGCCTGTGTCATCTCCAAGGGTTCTACAACAATCCTCTTCTTCTCCTCATCGTATCGGATCTCAGTGTATCCGGTCATGGGGAAGTCCTTTCGCAGTGGGTGGCCGTCGAAACCGTAGTCGGTCATGATTCGCCTCAGATCCGGGTGTCCAACGAAGAAGACACCAAACAGATCGTAGACCTCACGTTCGTACCAGTTGGCACCATCGTAGAGATCGCACAGACTGGGTACTGGGGTGGCCTCATCCGCGTACGTTTTGACCCTCAGGCGCGAGTTGTGACGGATGCTGAGCATGTTGTAGACGACCTCAAAACGCTGGTCCTTGGTGGGGTAGTCGACGGCGGTGATGTCTGAGATCTGGGTGTACTCTGCGGCGGTGTGGTACTTTAGGAAGGTGAAGGTGGGGATGATGCCGGCGGGTGGGACGTAGATGGTCAACTCATCCTTCCAGACGGAGAATCTTGGGTGTGGTCAGACGGTAGTTACTCCCAGATGTGGATTGACATACTGCTGGACGTATTTCGGCAGACATGACATAATGTACTGGCCATATTTGTGCAGAGCCTCGCCCTTCTCTTTGTAGTGGTCGGCCGGGTTCACGATGGCGCGCTTGAGCGTGACGGTCTCGTCGCGGGGGGCAAACTGCGATCACATTAGAAACCACGTCTTCGCCATATCATGTGACATGCGCACCCTCATGTTTGGGGTTTCCGATTCGGGACCCGCGACTTCCTTTGCCCGGAGAGCCGTGGAGGCAAAGGTGCGAACTGCATGGCGGGAGGAGCCCGAGGCGCGGACGGCGGCGCCCAATGGCCGGCCGACAGCTAGCCGCATAGCCATTGTGTGCGGTGAGAGAGTGGTGAGGCTACGCGATGTAGCAGGTGAGGGCGACTGCGGGTGGTGATGTCGTCGACGTCGTCGAGTTCGCAGCTCCCACCCGCAAATGCGCGCTTATGTAAGTCGCTAGCGTTAAGCGGAACCTGGTGTGCCATCGCGCAGGTGCAGCCTCTTAACCCCCATCACCTCCTGTGGATCCCTCTTCCAGCGACAGCGACACTCCGGCCGGCGTTTATTTGTACTTCCGCGGTTTCCTTACTGACCTCTCGTCCCGACCCCCAGGTCTCGTCTCACCCCACGTATCTCTACTTTGAGCGCCACCCGCTCTCAACAACACATCGCAACCACACACACCATGTCTCGACTGCAGCAGGACCAGTTCGTCGACGATGACGAGGAGGAGTGCTGCCCGCTCTGTGTCGAAGAGTTCGACCTCTCGGACAGGAACTTCCGCCCCTGCCCATGCGGCTACCAAGTACGCCTTTGTGCCAAAACTCGGTGAACCATCTCGAGTCCCATGCTGACCCACGTGCCAGATATGTCAGTTCTGCTACAATAACATCAAGACGACCATGAACGGACTGTGTCCCGCCTGCCGCCGCCCCTACGATGACTCCACGATCGAGTGGAAGACCATCTCCCCCGAAGAGTGGGTCCCCTGCACCTTCCATCTCTAAACACATCTGACACTGCCCAGGATGGCACAACACAAGCAGCTCATCGCGCAAAAGGCCAAGAAGAACGCCCAGATACGGCAGAAGGAAGCACAGAAAGCCGAAGCCGACTCTCTCAGCCGCAAGCACCTGTCTGGTCTGCGTGTCGTCCAGAAGAACCTCGTATACGTGACCGGTCTCACGCCGACGATACGCGAAGACGAACTACTCAAAACTCTTCGCGGAGACGACTACTTCGGCCAGTACGGCAAGATCCTCAAGATTGTCGTCAGCAAAGCCAAGGAGAACGCGCAGCATCAACAGTCGGTGGGTGTTTATGTGACATTCGCTCGCAAGGAAGATGCAGAGAAGTGCATCAATGCTGTCGACGGTTCTCAGAATGGCGAGAGGACATTAAGGTATGTGAATCTCTATCCATGCACACGTGTCATGTAACATGCTCACATCTCTTGCAGAGCTCAATTTGGTACTACGAAGTACTGCTCAGCGTATCTCCGCGGCGAGACCTGCAATAATCGCAATTGCATGTTCTTGCACGAACCCGGCGAAGACAACGACAGCTTCACTCGCCAAGATCTCTCTATGATGAACTCCATCCAGACGCAACAACCGTCACAATCGTCTACGTCTCGAGCCGCGCCCCCCGCCCACCAGGGTCCCGCTGTCGCTGCCGCGATCCCGATGCATCGACAGGATAGTACCGATACGTCGAGCTCGATACACGAGGCGCCCGGTTTGCCTGCAACCGCTAGCTGGGGCAGTAAGGCGTTGCTGGAACGCCGAGCCAGCCGATCCACGGTCGCTTCGAACAACGCCAGTCCCATGGTCACGAATGCTGTCCCCGCGCAACCACCCAAACCATCGAAGGCAGCTGAGCCACCAAAGAAGAAGGGCAAGGACAAGGAAAAAGAAAAAGAAAAGGAGAAAGAGAGGGAAAAGGAGAAGGCTGCACAAGCATCGAAGGCTGCAACCCCGCCGCCTGCTCCGACACCCGCACCCGCTGCCCGACCGCCGAAGCCCCGCGACAATGGTATTCACGATTTACTAAAGGTCATCTGCTCGCCAGACTTCAAGTTCGTGTTCTCGAGCGCCGTTCTATCTGAGGAAGAACTGAAAGCTGTCACCGAGTTTCCTCAACTCCTGGATCCCAATGGCGGTGCTAAGCGTCGTGCCATCAAAGAAAAGAAGGAGAAGGAACTGGCACTGCAGCGCGAGGCTGAAGCAGAAGCTGTTGCTGTAGCAAAGGCAGCATCCCAGCAAGCCCCAGCTGCTGAGCGTGAAGACAACGAAGCAACGGCTGGCGGCAGCTTGCAGCTAGGCGGAGAGCCCGAAGACGGTCCCGAGACAAGCACCAACCACCTCAATCAACACGCGATTGCACCACCTGGTCAGCAAGGT